TTATTAATCGCTAAATGAGACTAAACGATTACGAAGATATTATAGCAATATGCATTACTATTACTTTATGACATCGTCTTCTCCGCGAAATTGCCGGTTCTGGTTGCATTAAGCCCTTCCTTTATCATATAATCGCGTGTCTTTATAAACTAGCCGGTAAATGATCACGTGTGCGCAAAGAATCGAAAATGTTCTGTATACTTTGAATGATTTATCCACAAATATTGATCTCTCATGCTATCATCATCGATTAATTGTGTGACGAAAATTTAATTCCACATATTTTATAATAAATAATATCTATTCGTGCCCTTTTCCTGCCATTTCTGGGGGATATTCTATATAATTCTGTTTGGACGATTCATTGACATTTGTTATGAGTTTAACGCATTCGGCGGTGATAATTATCGTAAAAGTGTGTAAGTTACTTCGCAAAAAATCGCAAATATGCGTACGAGATATTTACACCTTCATGCACAAGCCACCGTGGTAAATGACGCGACTAACACGCCCATGCGTCTTCGCGATGCAACGGCATGTTTAATCGCGATGACAGCAACATGTTGGATGGGTGAGGGAGGTAAATATGCCGGAGACACTCGAGCCAGTTTGACCAATCATCAGTTTAAAATCAACCTGTGCTGTTTCACATCGAGTCAAGTTGATTCTAAGTGCTTACTTTTATGTTGATTTTAAGTACTTATCAATATTTATATAAATATTGATAAGTAATGTACAATAATCAGAATATACGTGAAAAATAAAGAAAAATTGTAATTTTTTAGGATTATTAATTTATCTAGATTTTTTGAAGACTATTTTACGAATTTTAGTGTCTTAATATCGAATATTTTTCAACAAAATTTTATAACAAGAATTAGAAATACCATATTTAATTTTCATGCCTCATATCTTTTAATTAAACATAACAGAAGCATCGTTATACATATAATGGGGACTATGAACTATATATTATAAACAGATACTCTGTAAATATATCTATTTTTCTTTTTGCGAAAAATGTCATTTTATTTTCCTGCAATCAAAAGTGAACTCGTAGCGTATAAACCAGGTTGAATATGAAACTCGCTATTCCACTCGTCGCGCTTTAATTACGCGGCCGTCCATTTATGCGTGCGGGCACCGCGCGCGCCCGTCCCATCATTTTGCAATATCGGGAGAAAGGAAAGCAGATTAAGAGAGAAATTAAGAGACCAAGCAACGAATTACCGCGTTGAACACCCTGTATTTAACGAGCGCACCGCGCTACAAGTGGTGAGGTGTGCGCGATTGCGTTGGTTTTGCGATGTGAGATTGTCACGCACGTCTTTAATTAATGCTACTCGCGCTTAGCGTTATTACGTATGCTACGCATCCCCCGGAGAACATATTGAGGTTTTTATTGAATCTATTAAAGTGATTACGCCGCTGTATGTAAGCACGTATTCCGTCAGTGTATCCGCCAGTGTCGTATTCCGTGAGGATGAGCGGCCGCAGATTGAACACTATGTATGCTTCTTCTTCCCGAGGAAGAAATGCCGAAACAAAGAAAAACGAAGCATGAAGAGAGGAGGATCGAGTTCCCGATAATTCATTTCGTTTACCGGACCCCGCGTTCAGATACGCAATCGCGTTCGCCTCTATGATCCACGCTAGATCGTGTCACGCACATGTTTAATACGCGCCCGGCGTGCCGTGTAGGAGCTTTGAGGAATTAAGATGATTACACTGTAAGTGCGCTGTACAGAGTTGCAACCGATCATCGAGCCGAACGCGCTCCCTTGCATTTCTCTCCTCGGGAAGAGTTCGGGACGGGCAAAACATCGATTCATGGTATCTACTCAAATCTTGTAAAAAAATTGCCTGAAAATTTTCTAACCTTTTAGGTATTTTTGTTCAAAATTCCAGGTAAAGAGAATATTTTAACGATTTTTTTATGCAATTTCTTAAAATTAGTCTTTTTATTGTACGCGTTTTCTAATGTTTTTCATTCATACTTATAAAGAAAAAACACAAAGCTATTTAAGTTTCAAGTGCTAAATGTACTGAAAAAAAGATATATATTTATAATATATTTTAAACACATAAATCACAATTTGATTTTTATTGGCGGATTGCAAATTGCTTACAGTATAAGAGCAAAATGATAAAACAGAAAATTTTTTAAAAATTTCCTGAATCCCAAAAAATTCCCTGAGAATTCCAGGTTTTCATGTTTTTCCAGAAAATAGACACCTTGTCGATTATTATTCCGATAACTCATTTCATTTACCAATCACGACATTCGGACGTACTATGCGAGATAGATGTATCTACACACAGAAAAATACATACTATATACAAGTAAATATTACTTGTTTCAAGTATTTCATAAGTTCATATATCCGCAAATCTATCATAAGTTCATCATAAGCATCAAATTTATTCAAAATATATTCTGAATCCTAATAAATTTAATATTTCAATCAAGAATATTAAATTATATAATTGAAAGAAATACATTAAATTTTTCTGATCTAATAAATTTTCTTACATTAAATTAACCATATCTGACTTTTCTTCGATAAAATTTTATAATATTCTTCAAAAGAAAATATTTACTTGTTTTGAGTACATGATAATGAGTATTTCTAAAATTTGTGACAAGTCTATTTTAAGACTATTATTAAGAAAATATTCTTTGTTAAAGATAACTGTTACTTAAAAGAAGTAAAGTAAACTGAGTAATCATTTTACTTAGCAATAGAATAATATTTTTCTGTGTGCACTTATACTCGCGCGGATTAGCTATTTTTTTAAAATAAATCTCATTAATTATTGCAAAAATTGCAAAATGATATAGAACTTTCCTCTACTCGATTTAACCCTCTCTATACATGAGAGGTGATACGATTATTACCGGACATCTTGTTTAATTATATACATATTTGATTATATCAACTTTTTTCTCGAGCCTGAATGAAATAGAAATCTGTTAAAGTAATTCTTCTTGCTTCCTCATAGAGGAAGCTTTGTTTT